TATAATTCTTTTTGGTCAGGCCCCTGCCCCTAGCACACTTTTCTCTCAACAATTCTCTCCCTGCGAATTCACTGGTCCTGAAGGCACTAGTCCTCCAGCTCTGGATTTATTTACTTATTTATTTTTTAAATGTATATTTTTATTTATTTCAGAGAGGAAGGGAGAAGGTGAGAAAGATAGAAACATCAGCGATGAGCGCAGCTGCCTCCAGCACTTACCCTACTGCGGACGGAACCCGCAGCCCAGGCTCGGCCCTCAGCCAGAATGGAGCCGGGGACCCTCCAGCCCTCAGGCCGGCGCTCTGCCCACTGGGCCACACAGCGCGGCGGCTCTCGGTCACTGGACTCCCCGTGCTGGTCGTTCATGCGTTACACATTTGTCTTCCTGAAGATCTGAGTCCCCCTGGAAAAGATCCCTGGGGCCTGGAGTGGGGCCTGATTGCCTTCTGCTTCCCCGTCGTTATCAGTTAAACAGGGCTCTGCAAATGGTCAGCAACGGCATTTTTCCTTATTTAAATACTATTTTATTCCATAAAGAGTTTAAAAGAGCTGTGAAATAAAATGCTGTCAATCTGAAATAAGGGAGCATTAACTATTTGGAAGAAAATAAAGTTAGACTCTAAGAGACTTTATACAAAAATATGTTGCACATGATTAACAATACTTCACGATAGTAGTGTTTGGGTGATGAGAACTGGTAACAAGCTAGATGTCCTCTAGGATTAGTTTAACCTCAGGGACTAGTTAAATTAACTATGGTAGCCCTAACCGGGTTGGCTCAGTGGATAGAGCATCGGGCTTCGGACTGAAGGGTCCCGGTTCGATTCCGGTCAAGGGCATGTACCTGGGTTGCGGGCACATCCCCAGTGGAGCGGGGGGAGGGTGCAGGAGGCAGCTGATGTTTCTCTCTCATCGATGTTTCTAACTCTCCTCCCTTCCTCTGTAAAAAATCAATAAAATATATTAAAAAAATTAACTATGGTATATTCCTACAATGGTATAAAAATACATCTGTGAGCTTTGGTGAGAAAAGCACATCTTTGGTGAGAAAAGCACAGTGCAGACCAAGTAGAACATGAATCTGTCAATGTAAGAAATGTCCAAACCTGAAAAGAATTTATAAGACTTTGCATCAAACTGATGAAAGTGCTGCAATGCCCTGGCGAATGACAGTTACAAAGTTTCTTTTTTTAAAAAAATTAAATCTTTATTGTTCAGACTATTACATTTGTTCCTCTTTTTCCCCCCCATAGCTCCCCTCCTCCCAGTTCCCACCCCACCCTCTGCCCTTACCCCCCGCACTGTCCTCTCATCCATAGGTGCATGATTTTTGTCCAGTCTCTTCCCACATCTCCCTAATCCCTTTCCCCGCCCAAATAGTCAGTCCATTCCCTTTCTATGTCCCTGATTCTATTACAATCACCAGTTCATACTGTTAATCAGATTCTTTA